TAATATATAATATCCTGTATAATAATAATATATAAATCCTGTATAATAATAATAATACATATATCCTGTATAATAATAATATATAAATCCTGTATAATAATAATAATAATAATATATAAATCCTGTATAATAATAATAATATATAAATCCTGTATAATAATAATAATAATATAAATCCTGTATAATAATAATAATCCTGTATAATAAATAATAATAATAATAATAATAATAATATATAAATCCCGTATATAAATCCTGTATAATAATATATATAAATCCTGTATAATAATAATAATATATAAATCCTGTATAATAATATATAAATCCTGTATAATAATAATAATAATATATAAATCCTGTATAATAATAATAATATATAAATCCTGTATAATAATAATAATAATATAAATCCTGTATAATAATAATAATATATAAATCCTGTATAATAATAATAATATATATAAATCCTGTATAATAATAATATATAAATCCTGTATAATAATAATAATAATAAATCCTGTATAATAATAATATATAAATCCTGTATAATAATAATAATATATAAATCCTGTATAATAATAATAATAATAATCCTGTATAATAATATATAAATCCTGTATATAATAATAATATATAATATCCTGTATAATAATAATATATAAATCCTGTATATAATAAATAATAAATAATATATAAATCCTGTATAATAATAATATATAAATAATGTATAATAATAAATAATAATAATAATAATAATATATAAATCCTGTATAATTAAATAATAATAATAATATATAAAATAAATAATAATGTATAAATTTTTATAATAATAATAATATAAATCCTGTATAATAATAATATATAAAATAATAATATAATAATATATAAATCCTGTATAATAATATACAACTAATGCCCCGTACACATGATAAGAAAATCGTCCACTGATCGAACAATTTTCTCTTCGTTGATGAGCAGGATGTTTTAACCAATAACGATATCATGAAAAAAAAACTCCGGTGGAACAACGGATTTATACCTGCTAGAAAGGAAGAGACAGGGCCGCACACCAAAATTCAGGTTTCTATACTTTCATCTTACATAAATAACGTTGGTAATATTGTCAACAGTATTTTCTTAGAAAGGGGTGTCATTTTTCTGAAAGGGTCACAAGGCAATGTAATGTGGTCCCTTTACATGCATCTATTATTATTATTATTATACAGTATTTATATAGCGCTAAAAGGTTTGCTCAGCGCTGTATATTATAGTGGGGGACAGTACATGAGACAGTACAGTAACAATACAATACACAAGGGGTTCAAGGGCCCTGCTCCTTGGAGCTTACAATCTAGGGGTTGATTTACTAAAACTGGAGAGTTCCAAATATGCTGCAGCTCTGCATAGGAACCAATCCGTTTCCAGTTTTTATTGGCAAAGCTTAATGCCCCGTACACATGATAAGAAAATCGTATGAAAAATTTTGTGCAACAACTGATCGAACGATTTTCTCTATGTTGATGAGCAGGATGTTTTAACCTCCCTAGCGGTCTGATTATGTCAGTATTTCTGTGCTGAAAGCGGTACATTTTTTTGCATGGAAATATGTATTTTTTTTTATTGTAGGCCTGTAATTTTTAGGAATAACTCACTGAAATCTGTCCAAACAAGAGTCTAGTAAACATCCCGGGTATGATAAAACTTGAAACACGAAATCATAAATTATAATATAAAAAATAATCATAAAAAATAATAGTAATATAATAATAAATTTAATTCAATAATATAATCAAAACCAAAAACACTGAAATGTGAAATATAGCGCCAAGTTCGCACATCGCTGAGCTCAGTCGCAGAATCGTTTTCAGTGTCTGATGAGGAATTTCCCCCACAAATCATTATCACTCAATTCTGCAAGTGGTTCTGATTTACTATCGCTGTTCTCTAGCCGGTCTAAACCGCTTTTGACCTAAAGGGACGCTTTTTGGACGCCATGGACGTTTCTCAGTTTCCAGGCAGAAAGAACAGTAAAAATGCAGGCAGGGCGCCGGACAAAGCACTCGGGACAAAAATGTATGTGAAATGGTTTGATACAGGAATGTTATACTATGTGATTTTAGTGAATTTAGTGAATGTCTCTTTTTTTTCACATTTTTGAATTTCTCGTCAGTTCTATCCCCCGTACATCCCGACATCGCAGGTAACGGAACACAGAAGACAGATGCCGGCATGCACTGGAGGACATTACAGGGGACACTGCAGGGGGGACATCGTGGGAGTGCAGGACAAGGTAAGTGAAGAGATCCCGGAGCAACGCTGCAGTGTATTCCTGAGTGTAGCTCGGGGTTACCGCTTGTGGTGCTGAAACTTTACCCCGAGCAACACTCGGGAATACCGCCAGGGGGGATAACAGATAACGATATCATGAACAAAAAAATCAGGTGGAACAACAGTGAAAGATGTTGTCATACGAACAACCGATTTTCTATGCTTTGGTATGACGGTCGTACGAAAAAATCTATCAAGCGCTATCACGCGTGAGCGGAAACAGAAGATGACCCAGATGTTTATGTCTAAGGAATCTTCATAAACACGAACGAAAAATCCAAATGTTAAAAGATCGGCCTAATGAGATGATGAAACCAGAATTCTGCAGATTATATTTCATGTATCACTATTTATGTATATAGGTCATGTAATAACTGATATTATACTCATTGCTGGGTAATTGTTGTGTATATCGCTCATTCTGGCTGGAAGGGCGTGGCTACAAGTTGTAACCGCATCACTTCCACTTGAATGGAAGGTCAACCTACGTTACCCCTCGTACATTTTTTTTTTGTTGTACTGTGCCATGTATTGTCCCCCCTAATTGTACAGCGCTGAGCAAACCCTTTGGCGCTATTTTAAACTTTAGTAATAATAATAATTTAATAAATCCACGTAAATGTTCAAAAGAATGGAAGATGTCAACACTACGTATTGGTCGACGAATGTTTTTTTTAGATTGGTTAATGTGGGCCACGATTTTGAAAAATCCAAATGTGTTAAAAGTAGATCGGCCTAAAGAGAATCATGAAACCGGAATTCTGCAGATTATGTTTTATGTGTCACTATTTATGTATATAGGTCATGTAATAAATGATATTATACTCATTGCTGGTAATTGTGTATATCTACTAGATTGTAAGCTCCCAGGATCAGGCCCTCCTATCCCTCTTGTATTGAACTGTATTGTTGCTGTATTGTCTCCCTTTATATTGTAAAGCGCTGAGCAAACTGTTGGTGCCATAAATCCTGTATATAATAATATATATATATATAAATCCTGTATAATAATATATAAATCCTGTATAATAATAATATATAAATCCTGTATAATAATAATAAGAATAATATTATATAAATCCTGTATAATAATAATAATAATATTATATAAATCCTGTATAATAATAAGAAGAAGAATAGATAATATATAAATCCTGTATAATAATATATATATATAAATCCTGTATAATAATATATAAATCCTGTATAATAATAATATATAAATCCTGTATATAATATAAATAATGTATAATAATATATAAATCCTGTATAATAATAATAATATATAAATCCTGTATAATAATAATAATAATAATATAAATCCTGTATAATAATAATATATAAATCCTGTGTAATAATAATATATAAATCCTGTGTAATATATAATAATAAATTAATAATATATAAATCCTGTATTAAATAATAATAATAACATAAATCCTGTATATAATAATAATATATAAATCCTGTGTATAATAGTAATATATAAATCCTGTGTAATTATAATAATATATAAATCCTGTATAATAATAATAATAATAATAAATATATAAATCCTGTATAATAATAATAATAATATATAAATTCTGTATAATAATATATAAATCCTGTATAATAATAATAATATATAAATCCTGTATAATAATAATATATAAATCCTGTATTATAATAATAATAATATATAAATCCTGTATAATAATATTAATATATAAATCCTGTATTAATAATAATAATAATATATAAATCCTGTATTATAATAATAATATATAAATCCTGTATATAATAATAATAATAATATAAATCCTGTATAATAATAATAATAATAATAATAAATATAAATCCTGTATAATAATAATAATAATAAATAATATTAATATATAAATCCTGTATAATAATAATAATATATAAATCCTGTATAATAATAATAATAATATCGCTCGTTCTGGCCGGAAGGACGTGGCTACAAGGTCACACGCACACAGCATCACTTCCACTTGTACGGAAGACATCAACACTACGTATTGCCCGACGAACAATTTTTTTAGAGTGGTTAATGTGGGCCAACAAATGAACACCTCTTGGTCGTTGGATGACCGATCGGTCGATTTTCTAATCGTGTGTTCCCACCTTAAGGTTCTAGAGTATTGAGTAGTTCTAGAGTGCGGTAAACCCTCTGTGATTCCATGGGCAATAACCAACAAAAGGAAGGACAGATCCTACAGCAGTGTGAGTCTTCAGATGGCTGATGTGAGGAAACAACAGTAGCAGAGTACACAGACTGATGGCCAAGTAAAGAGGATACAGTTCATGTCCCAGAGAGAGCAATGACAGACAATAGCCAAGGCAACAAGCCCATGATCAGAATGATCACAAACAAGAGGCGTAACGCCGTCTGAACAATACACACTGGAATGGTTCTAAGCATGAACTGTCAGAGAGAAGTAAATCATAAGCAGACGTCTATATAGGTGATGAGTAAACAGGCAAGTCTCTGGACTTGCTTTAAAGTCTACTAATGAGGTCAGGTGTGCGCAGCACAGACTTGAGCTGCAGTGCTAAGTAATGACCAACAGATGGTGAATATTCAAGGCTAATCATTACAAGTATTTTATTAATGTACCCACCATGACTATTTTAACCACCTCCTGTCCAGCCGTTGTATATAAACGGCCGGACGGGAGCAGTGCAGGGTCGGGTGGCCATTTATAAACGACCTCCCTGCCCCCTGCTTGTGCACGCTCCCTAGGAGCGTGCAGCACCGCGATCCGGTGCCCGCTGTGTCCTCCAGACATAGTGGGACACCGATCATTAGACGGGACCTCTGTGCAAGGTCCCGATAATGTGATCACTGATTGGCCAATCAGTGATCACATGCAGAGTAGTAAGCAAGATGTCACTTCTGATATCATTGCTTACTACGTGTGAAATCTGTGAATGATCACAGAGATCACATGGTAGAGGGCTATTCACAACAGTCTTGTACCATGTGACAAGCTGTGACCAATCACAGCTCACACAGTAGTTCTCAATGGCTGCAAGAATGCAGCCAGAGAGGAGAAATGATTGCTTTTACAGCCTTTATGGGTGTAAAAGCAATCAGTGTAAAAAAAAAAAAAAAATCTTCATCACCCCCTCACAAGTAGTACAGTGTCACCATGGGTGACAGTATGTAAAACAAAAAACAAATAATAATATAAAAAAAAATAAAAAATGTAAAAAAAAAATGTTTAAAAATTATAATTTTTTGGTTATAAACTAATTTGCCTTATTTTTTTTCTACTAAAAAGATAAAGGAATACATTTTGGCCAAGATTTATGATGAAATATTATTTATTTGCTAAATTTTATAAGAAAAACACTTTTTTTCAACATTTTTGGATTTTTTCATTTACATAGCAAAAAAAAATAAAAATCCCAGCGGTGAATAAATACACCAAAATAAAGCTTTATTTGTCTCAAAAAAATGCTAAAAAATTCATATGGGTACAGTGTTGCATGACCGCGCAATTGTCATTCAAAGTGTGATAGCGCTGAAAGCTGAAAATTGGCCTAGACTGGAGGGGGGTGAAAGTGTCCGGACTGGAAGGGGGGGAAAGTGTCCGGACTGGAAGGGGGGGGGGAAAGTGTCCGGACTGGAAGGGGGGGAAAGTGTCCGGACTGGAAGGGGGGAAAGTGTCCGGACTGGAAGGGGGTGAAAGTGTCCGGACTGGAAGGGGGGGGGGGAAGTGTCCGGACTGGAAGAAAGTGTCTGGACTGGAAGGGGGTGAAAGTGTCCGGACTGGAAGGGGGGGAAAGTGTCCGGACTGGAAGGGGGGGGGGAAGTGTCCGGACTGGAAGGGGGGTGAAAGTGTCTGGACTGGAAGGGGGGGGGAAAGTGTCCAGACTGGAAGGGGGTGAAAGTGTCCGGACTGGAAGGGGGGGGAAAGTGTCCGGACTGGAAGGGGGGGTGAAAGTGTCCGGACTGGAAGGGGGGGGGAAGTGTCCGGACTGGAAGGGGGTGAAAGTGTCCGGACTGGAAGGGGGGTGAAAGTGTCCAGACTGGAAGGGGGTGAAAGTGTCCGGACTGGAAGGGAGTGACAGTGTCTGGACTGGAAGTGGGTCATACTTGCCCCATTACACTCACTGGACTAGCCCCCCTCCAGTCTGGGATGCCAAGCTTTGTTCTTCCTGCTCCTCCAATGTCTCTGATTGGTGGTTCCCATTGAACCCTGTTCACATGATGTCATTATTATCATCATTGATATTATTTCATTTTTAGGTCTCTTTAGTCTCCGGGTAGAAGACCTGAAAACCTCTAATCTGCTCACAAAGTTCTACTTCCTTCCTGTTGGCCTCACTTCACATCCCACATTTCTATCTCTCATTCATTCTAGGTCCTTTTTCTGGTCACCACCTTACTGAGCCTCCTGGACGTCTCCCAGTGCTGCCATCTTTGTATAAATCTACCTTCTTTGGTCACCACTTCTCATCCATGCCTCATCTCTCTTACTGCAGTTGTGCAGACCAGGAACTCAGTGCATGGATGGTGGGAACCCCTCATAATCAGTACAGACGGCGCACAGACCCGGAAACTTAGAACAGGGATGGTGGAAATCCCTCATAATGGGCACAGCAGGTGTTCAGACCAAGGAACTCAGTACAGGAATGGTGGGAACCCCTCATAATGGGCACAGCAGGTGTACAGACCCGGGAACTCAGCACAGGGATGGTGGCAACCCCTCATAATTTGCACAGCAGGTGTTCAGACCAAGGAACTCAGCACAGGGATGGTGGGGACCCCTCATAATGGGCACAGCAGGTGTACAGACCAAGGAACACAGTACAGGGATGGTGGGAACCCCTCATAATGGGCACAGCAGGTGTACAGACCAAGGAACTCAGCACAGGGATGGTGGGGACCCCTCATAATGGACACAGCAGGTGTACAGACCAGGAACACAGTACAGGGATGGTGGAAACCCCTCATAATGGGCACAGCGGGTGTAGAGACCCAGGGAACTCAGCACAGGGATGGTGGGAACCCCTCATAATGGACACAGCAGGAGTACAGACCACGGAACTCAGTACAGGGATGGTGGGAAACCCCTCATAATGGCCTCACAGCAATAGGTGTAGAGACTTCCCGAAAGTTAGCACAGGGATGGGGGGAACCCCTCATAATGGACACAGCAGGTGTACAGACCTGGGAACTCAGCACAGAGATGGTGGGACCCCCTCACAATGGCCTCAGGTGTAAGCCTCTTGGACTTCTCCCAGGGATGCTGGGAGACCCCTCATAATGGACACAGGTGTACAGACCACAGAACTCAGTACAGGACTGGTGGGAACCCCTCATAATGGACACAGCAGGTGTACAGACCCAGGAACTCAGCACAGGGATGGTGGGAACCCCTCATAATGGACACAGCAGGTGTACAGACCCCCGGGAACTCAGCGCAGGGATGGTGGGAACCCCTCATAATGGGCACATCAGGTGTACAGACCCGAGAACGCAGCACAGGGATGGTGGGACCCCTCATAATGGGCACAGCGGGTGTACAGACCCCGGAACTCAGCACAGGGATGGTGGGACCCCTCATAATGGGCACAGCAGGTGTACAGACCCGAGGAACGCAGCACAGGGATGGTGGGGGGACCCCTCATAATGGGCACAGCGGGTGTACAGACCCCAGAACTCACCACAGGGCTGGTGGGACCCCTCATAATGGGCACAGCAGGTCTACAGACCCGGGAACGCAGCACAGGGATGGTGGGAAACCCCTCCAAATGGGAACAGCAGGTTTTGGGATGTTGGGAAAAAGTTGTGGAAAAGTCCTGAAAAAATAAAGCTAATGCAGCCACCACATCTAAGGACTGGTAAGATGTAACATATTTCTGTTGTTGGGTGTAGGTACACTTTACGTATTTTGGGCAGCATTTTCTTTCACGGTGTTGCTGCGGTGAATGCTACAACATATAATATTCAGATCCTGTCTCAGACCCGCACAGCACTGGGTAAGAAGATGTCAGCCGTTTATAAATCAATATTAAGAAGGAAATGCGGATAATGGACCCCCCGCTGTAAATTATAAGGATATTATGACTCACCGAGAAGTTCCGTCTCTACACAATGGTACAAGGTCACGGAGCAAAGAGGAATGAGCAATGGGGGCAAATCTTAATACCTCACACATTTATCTGAAGGGTGCGTTAATCCTTAAGTCAAATGGAAATTGGCCCGAACCGCATGGCGCTCGCTGATACCTGGGGTGGGCGGGGCTTTACTTCAATGACAGTAATTTAAAGGGAAACAGTTGCAGGCTCTTGACTTGTATGATGAACATTACAGGCTGATAGCAGGCATTAGGAGGCACAATCCCAGCCACCAACTATGTCATCTGCAGATCTGCAGGACCTGCAAAGACTACCATTCTGAACTTCACTGTGCTTGCGTGGGTTTCCTCCGGGTACTCCGGTTTCCTCCCACACCCCAAAGACATGCTGGTAGGTTAATTGGCTCCTGTCTACATTGTCCCTAGTATGTGTATGTATGAATGTGAGCTAGGGACCTTAGATTGTACGCCCCTTGAGGGTTAGGGACCTTAGATTGTACGCCCCTTGAGGGTTAGGGACCTTAGATTGTACGCCCCTTGAGGGTTAGGGACCTTAGATTGTACGCCCTTGAGGGTTAGGGACCTTAGATTGTACGCCCCTTGAGGGTTAGGGACCTTAGATTGTACACCCCTTGAGGGTTAGGGACCTTAGATTGTACGCCCCTTGAGGGTTAGGGACCTTAGATTGTACGCCCCTTGAGGGTTAGGGACCTTAGATTGTACCCCCCTTGAGGGTTAGGGACCTTAGATTGTACGCCCCTTGAGGGTTAGGGACCTTAGATTGTACGTCACTTGAGGGGGTTAGGGACTGATGTGAATGTACAATATATATGTAAAGTGCTGCGTACATTGATGGCGCTATATAAGTACCTGAAATAAATAAATACATATAAAGAAACGCCGATCACCGCAGTAACGTGTGCAATACTGATGTGTAATGTACAATATATATTGTACAAGTGCTGCGTACATGGATGGCTCATCATTACATGTATATGAATTACATGTGTAAGTACCTGAGTATGTCTTGTTATCTGCCTCCTGTATTCCCACTGGGAGAAGGAGATCAAGCACTAGGAGCCAATCAGGCTCTGCTACATCTATATAAAAGTAGTGCAGCGCTAATGCAGGCTATAGACGGGGTGGAAAATGGGCCGATTTTCGCACCGTTAGTGGGTTAATTCGTCTGCCGTTTTTCGGGGTTTTGGCACATTTTTTTTATCGTTAAAGTTGGAAAATTTGTGGCCGATTTTCCCGGCAATGATGGGCAAATCGGCCGATCGTTTTACCGATAAAAAATCTGCACATGAGCCATGACCTGCAAGAATAAGAAAAAGAATAAGAAAAAGGAGAAAAAGAAAAAGAAGAAGAAGAAGAAGAAGAGGAAGAGGAAAAAGAAAAGAAGAAAGAAGCAGGAGAAAAAGAAGAAGAAGTAGAGGAAGAAAAAGAAAGAAGAAAAAAGAAGAAGAAAAGAAGAAGAAGAAAGAAAAGAAGAAGAAGAAGAAGAAGAGAAGAAGAAGAAGAAGAAGAAGAAGAAGAAGAAGAAGAGGAAGAAGAAGAAAAGAAGAGGAAGAAGAAAAAGAAGAAGAAGAAAAAGAAGAAGAAAAGAAGAGGAAGCAAGAAAAGAAGAAGAAGAAAATAGAAGAAGAAGCAGAAGCAGAAAAACAAAAAGAAGAAAAGAAAAGAAGAAGAAGAAGAAAGAAAAGAAGAAGAAGAATTCCAGTCCGCTATTATATTTTATATGAAAAGTCTTGCGGTTGCAACAATGTATCTATTTGTATCCGAATAAAACCATCTGTATCCTAAATGGATACAAATGGATACATTGTTGCAACCGCAGTACTTTTCATATAAAATATAATAGCAGAGCTCTCTGCAAGGGACAGAAGTAATTATGGAGTTAAATGCCGGCCATGGACGGGACGAAAATCGGCCGATTTTTTTTACCGTTGGTGGTAATGTTGGCCGATCGAACAACTGATTTTTTGGGGGGTTTTTTTATAAACAAAATGGCCGGTTTTCAACCCATCTATGGCCTGCATATGTCTTGTTATCTGCCTCCTGTATTCCCACTGGGAGAAGGAGATCAAGCACTAGGAACCAATCAGGCTCTGCTACATCTATATAAAAGTAGTGCAGCGCTAAGGAGTGATATATCAAATGAAATCTTATAAGAAAACGCACTGAGGTAGTAGGTGCGTTTTTATCATAAAAATACTCAAACATATAAAATCTCCCAACATGTAAAATAGTTCTTAGTAGAAACGCACATCCATTAAAAATGCGTTTAAGTCATAAAAGTTCGATAAAATCTCAATAAAATTCTTCAGAATGATCGCCAGGTGACTGTGCTTAATCCCAGTATGGAAGGAAATCCTCAGGCGGGTGTGCTGATAAAGTGCGCACTCACCAGATGCGCTTATATAAAGCGCGTTGTATCATATGAAGTTGGTCGGTCAGGGATTGCTTCTTAGGGTGGTCTGGGATGTAGCCTGGGAGTGGGTGGCCTTCTTTTGGGTTATAGGAAAATGGCAAGCCAGGATATGTGGATCAACCTCTTCCAGACACTGGAATGGTCACCGGGATGGACCGACCAACTTCATATGATGAAACGCGCTTTATATAAGTGCATCTGGTGAGTGCGCACTTTATTTATCAGCACACCCACCTGAGGATTTCCTTCCATACTGGGATCAAGCACAGTCACTTGGCGATCATTCTGAAGAATTTTATTGAGATTTTATAACTTAAACGCATTTTTAATGGGTGTGCGTTTCTACTAAGAACTATTTTACATGTTGGGTAGATTTTATATGTTTGAGTATTTTTATGATCAAAACGCACCAACTACCTCAGTGCGTTTTCTTATAAGATTTAATTTGATATATCATTCCTTAGCGCTGCACTACTTTTATATAGATTTAACTGAAGGCTTATGGTTTTACCCTTTAGCGTTTTCAGCTGCTTTTACATTTTACATTTCGCTTTAATATTTTATTTATTTTAGGCTCTGCTACATGTGGACTCTGCTGCCCTGAAATCTCATTATTAGGCTATCAGCCTTGCTATATGCTCTTCTGTGAACTACAACCCCTTCAGCTCCTATGTTGTGGGGAAGGTGTTCTGTAATTTCAACCCACTTCCTATCCTAGGGTGACAACCCTGCTCTCATACAGTGCAGTGAGTGAGCGTTGTCACCCCAGGACAGGAAATGTGGTATTGTCAGGATTAGCAGGTAAAAGTCTTAGGATATAAACCTTAAAAAAAGAAACCTAATGTAATCAGCATTAGAAGTCTATGCCACACATCACTCACTCTTCTAACCACCTGAAGACCAAGCCTTTTCTGACACTTTTTGTTCACATGAAAAAAAATCTGTATTTTTTGCTAGGAAATTAATTTAAATCCCAATCATTATATATATTTTTTTAAAGCAAACACCCTAGTGAATAAAATGGTGGGTGCTGCAATTTTTTATGTCACATAGTACTCGCACAGCAATTTTTCAAACGCAATTTTAAAAAAAAAAAATACACTTTTTTTTACTTTAACCACTTCCAGTCCGGACACTTTCACCCCCTTCCAGTCCAGGCCAATTTTCAGCTTTCAGCGCTATCACACTTTGAATGACAATTTTCGCGGTCATGCAACACTGTACCCATATGAATTTTTTAGCATTTTTTTGAGACAGATAAAGCTTTATTTTGGTGGTATTTATTCACCGCTGGGATTTTTATTTTTTTGCTATATAAATGAAAAATTCCAAAAATTTTGAAAAAAAGGGTTTTTCTTATAAAATTCTGCAAATAAATAATCTTTCATCATAAATCTTGGCCAAAAGTTATTCCGTTATCTTTTTAGTAAAAAAAAACCCCAAATTAGTTTATAACCAAAAATTATAATTTTTAAACATTTTATTTTCCAGTTTTATTTTTTTTTTTTTTATTATTTATGTTATTTTTTTTTTGTACATGCTTTCACCCTACCAGTACAGTGTCACCATGATGACACTGTACTACTTGTGGGGGGTGATGAAGATTTTTTTTTATTTTTTACACTGATTTCTTTTACACCCATAAAGGCTGTAAAAGCAATCATTTCTCCTTCTCTCTGTCTGCATTCTTGCAGCCATTGAGAACTACTGTGTGAGCTCTGATTGGTCACAGCTTGTTACATGGTACAAGGCTGTTGTGAATAGCCCTGTACCATGTGACCTCTGTGATCATTCACAGAGTTCACACGTAGTAAGCAATGAAGTCAGAAGTGACATCTTGCTTACTACTCTGCATGTGATCACTGATTGGCCAATTAGTGATCACATGATCGGAACCTCGCACAGAGGTCCCGTACGACGATCGGTGTTCCACTGTGTCCGGAGGACACAGCGGGCTCCCAGGGAGCGCACACAAGCAGGGGGCAAGAAGGCCCTTTATAAACAGCCACCCGACCCTGCACTGCCACCGTCTGGCTGTTTATATACAACGGCTGGACGGGAGGTGATTAATGCACAAAAACACAAAATAGTGGCCAATTATTTGGTAAAATATAAAATATGATGGTATGCTGAGTAAATAGATACCAAACATGACATGCTTTAAAACTGCGCATGCCCCGTACAATGGCGACAAACTGCATACGTTTTAAATAATCCATAGGCAACGTTTTAAAAGCGTTTACAAGCTACCATTTTAGATTTACAGAGGAGGTCTAGTGTTAGAATTACTGCCCTTGATATGACGTTTGTGGCGATACCTCACATGCATGGCGCAACCGCTGTTTCCATACTGGCACAGGGTCAACGCTCACTAACGCAGATGCACGCGTGTGCGGGGGGGCAAGGGTACTTTTTTTTGTTATTTTGATTTTTTAAATTCTTTTTACACCACATTTCTATTCTGGAGCTGCAAAATATTGCATTTTTGTTCTTGAGTTTGAATACACTTAAAGTTAGGTCACCAGTTCAGGTTTGTTCTCTATGGGACTGGAGCTAGTTCTACACATACATTATATTTCTATGATCAACTATAGTTGTCCTTTTTTTGGACTTTGTGGACATGTGTGGAGATCCACACTTTTCTGGGCATGATGGAAAGGAAGATCGAAGTGTGGGATAATGTATTTCTGAGATTTTCCATCTAATTAGATTCTGCTCCCCGTGGGATCCCCTGCAGCCCTCCCCAGCATACAAGATATTCATGCATATACAGTGACATTGATTGTTATACATGACGCACAGTATCATCAGCCTCCTGCTGTCTCCTGAAGAACCAGACCGTTGGTCTAAGAAACATGTAGAGTTGTTTTTATGTCTTCTCATCATAGGTCCCTATCTAATGTTTTGGAAAACTATTAATATGAACTATTGTCTGCAAAGGTTCTCATTTATCCAGGTCATGGTATGTCTAGTAGTCAGGGGCGTAGATAAGGGGGATAGGGGGATCCAAAACCTCCCAAGAGCACCAGCGGCTGTCCGGGGCCTGTCCACGGCAGAAGTTCTGGAAGATCTGGCATTTCTGCCAGTACTCTACATGGCCGCCAGAAGTACACATAAGCCTCACTCTGGTGCCAGACGGCCTTTATAAGGAGGCTCATCACTTCCTCTAGTTGCTGGATGATCTCTAGCTCCCCGTGCCCTGTTCCTTGTGATTTTGACTTGTGATTTCCTGATACCGACTCGGCTTGCTCCTGGACCTGTCTACTCTGATTTACCCCTGATCTGATCTCGGCTTGGCTTATGGATACTCTCTCTCTCGCTCATCTGTGTATGACCTCGGCTACCCCATCTGACTACGTCCGCTCTGATTCCCACCTGGTACCTGGCGGGTAACGGCGCATGCACCATTTTCCTTATATAAACACTGCAGAGACGTCCGCGGCTGTAAGCTAACCCCCTGTGACTATGTGCAATCGCACGAAACGCATCAGAGAGAGGCTTCAGCGGAGTGACGTCAATGCCGGCCGGCGCCACGAGGGCCCTGGTGGCCATCTTGTATATTTACATGGGCCAGTACTTCTCTTGAATTTTACTGTTTTTTGCTTGGAATAAACACTTCTATCTTAAGGATACTACACTATCCGGCCTCCTCTGTTTTTTGAGCTCCTTTGGGAGCCATTTACATCTGTAGAGCAGCCTTTCCATGTGTGGCAGCATTTCTATACAGTGAGGGGATATCTGACCTGATCCGACCAGACCTTTTAGGATCCTTGATTTCCTGTGGTTACCTGTTATATGCACATTTAGATTGCGTATCTGGTGAGTGCGCAATCTTTACACACCTATCACCTTACCCATGGATCCAACCACTGGATTTTGAAGATCATTTGGGATCTTATGTGCACTTATATTGTGGACTTTGTAGTGTACAACACTCTTTCACGTTATTAGTCACTATTGAGTGGCATTTGTTTTTGCACGTGTCACATATTTATTGTTTATGGCGATTTTAGATGTTTAAGTAAGAACATATTGTCAGGAATGGACTCGCCAATAGTGGTGGGACTCACCTGCCTTGTGGGTTGCAGTACCAGGGCTGGCCAGCGGGTGCTCTCAGCAACCAGAGGCTCATTCCTGCAATCAGCCAAAACACCTGAGGCTGATTGCAGGAGGTGCATATAAGGAATGACCAGGCCTGTGATCTGGGCCTTGGTGTATGTTTCCCATGAGCCCCTGTGCCTGGTATCCTGTGTTCCTGCCTTGTTGCTGACCCTGCTTTGATCCTGACCTCTTCTGACCATCTCCTGTTGAACCCCTGGCTTGCCTGACCATCCTTCTGCCTGATCCTCGGTACCGCGCTGCCCGCTACCTGCTGAACCTGGCTTGTGACCCCGACCATTCTCTGCTTGCTCCTCCTGTACCACGCTGCCCGCACGATACCGACCCGGCCTGTCTGACTACGCTTACTTCACCCGACGATCCATCCATCCCGCACGGATCACCTTTGGTAAGTCTGCCTGCCTCTTCCCATCAGACTCCGTTCCTGCACTCCCCTGCCAGTACTCTCTACCACAGCCGGACGCACTCAGGGGTCGTGACCTGGTACCAGTCTGCACCAAGTCCATCCCCACCATCAGGGGCCCTGGTGAATAGCAGGCTGGTACTTAGACCCCACGCCCTGAGGAAATCCGTGCTGTGGGCTGCTAGAGACACTGCCAGGTGGCACCTGACAGTACCTTACGGCCTGCCTGACCATTCCACCTCTCCAGCCTGACTACGCCTGTGTTCTTGAAGCCTGCTACTTCCCTGTGTCAGTCCACACATTTCTGGTCATACCCGGATCCCTAACACATATTGATACATAACAAATTATTTAGAGCTGCACCTTATTTTACTCTATTACTTTGAAGGTTTTATATGGTACCTTGCAGTGCATAGCTGCTGATTTTATCTTTTAGCGCTCACTTATTTTGCTGTTTTATTATAACAGCAGAATTTCATTTGACCAGATATTCAGAAAAAATAGTTCATCAAAGTATTCAGTGTTAGCATCCTTCTGGTTTGATTTTTCTTGACATAATGGTTGAGAACGATCATAGAAGTGACCCAACAACTTTTAGAATACTGAAGAAACATTTCAAAAACAAAATTCCATTGGTGTCACTGGTGCATGGCTAGGAAAACTTACCCGAGAAGACACCTATTGAGCAGGAAGTATGAGTATGAAGACAGATGTGAGAGTCTCCTGTAGCACTGGGGTATTGAGAATACATAACACTGATGTCTCCTGGAGAGCACAGGGCTCACAGGTTCTAGAATGTAGGAAGCTTGAGGTACAAGAGACAAACTCTGGAGACACAGGGGGTTTGACAGACAGCAACTGATGCAGACTGTTACGGATCCGCCAGGTGGTGCCTCTGGCAGCCCACTAGACGGAATCACCCGGAGCGTGGAGTCTAAGTCCCGGTCTGCGTTTTCACCAGGGCCCCTGATAGTGGGGATGGACTTGGAGCAGAACCAGGACCAGGTCACGACCTCCGAGCAATACCACCAGTGGCAGAGGGAACCTCCGGGGATGAGTGTAAACCAGAAGAGAGCCAGATGTGAGGAGGCCAGCAGGACCAGGCAGGATAAACAGGCGGCTGTCACCGTGGGGGATGGCGAGGTACCGAGATGGCAGGCAGAGAGTGGTCAGGTCACACGCAGGGTCAGTATCGTAGTCAGTCCGCAGAATGGTCAAACAAGCGGGGGTCGGGATAGGAGAAGGCAGCGTAGTCCGGGGCAATCCGGGTCAAACTCAGGAGAAGGAAGCGTAGTCAAGCAATCCGGGTCAGAGCTAGAGCAGGCAGAGAGGTCAAACAATCCGGGTCAATAATCACAGGGCACAGGAAACTCAGGTAACAGGTCAGACCTTGCGGCAACTTGTGACAGTGCAGGGCATCTTTAAATATCGCGCCCTGCACTGTCATTGGCCGCCCAGGACGCGCCCCCGGGCTGTCATTGGCCGCCCAAGGCGCGCCCGCGGCTCCTACTGCGCATGCGCGGAATCCTGTCAGCCGCGGCCCGCCAGGACCTGGTGCTTGTGTCCCGGCGTGAGCCGCCGCTAGTGCGCGTGCGCCGGGGAAGGCGCCGCGGAGGTCCCTGACACAGGCAGTATACTGATGTGATATCCAGTAATCATCAGCTCCATCTAGTGGCCATGATGTGGTAAATTCTTGATTCACTCCATTCTTTATGAATGACTATCATTCATCCTGGAGAGAAAATAGCCTAGTAACATTCAATCTGTCTCTGATTTGCACAGAATGAGTGAAGAAGCAGTTTCAAAGGACAATTAGCTCTGCAGCCCTATTGAATCTAGTCTAATCCTGCAACGGTGATATTTTTAAAGGTGAAAGTGGAAATTGAGACCTTTAAATGTGTGCAGTGCATCCAGAAAGTATTCACAGCGCTTAACTTTTGCCACATTTTGTTATGTTACAGCCTTATTCCAAAATGGATTAAATTCTTTTTTTTCTTCTACATTCTATAAACAATACCCCATAATGACAACAGGAAAGAAGTTTGTTTTGAAATCTTTGTAATTTATTAAAAATAAAAAAATAAAAAAAAAAAACCCGCATGTACATAAGTATTCCCAGCCTTTACTCAATCCTTTGTTGAAGCACCTTTAGCACCAATTCCAGCCTCAAGTCGTTCTGAGTATGATGCTACAAGCTTGGCACACCTAGTTTTGGGCAATTTCTCCCATTCTTCTTTGCAGTACCTCTCAAGCTCCATCAGGTTGGATGGGGAGCTTCGGTGCACAGCCATTTTCAGATCTCTCCAGAGATGTTCAATCGGGTTCAAGTCTGGGCTCTGGCTGGGCCACCCCAGGACATTCACAGAGTTGGCCCGTAGCCACTCCTTTGTTATGTGGGCTGTGTGCTTAGGGTCGTTGTCCTGTTGAAAGATGAACCGTCACCCAGTCTAAGATCCTGGAACAGGTTGTCATCAAGGATGTCTCTATACATTGCTGCATTCATCTTTCCTTTAATCTTTACTAGTCTCCCAGTTCCTACCGCTGAAAAACATCCC